AAAAGGACGACTTCGGAGACGAGGTGGTGTTGCAGTCGGGGAGCTGGTACGCCAGAGTGGAAAATTTACGATGTGACTAAGGGAGTGGATGCGGCCGTAAGAGGCAGCTAGAGTCGCACAGCGTCGGCCCCGTTCGGTCCGATTGATTGGCTGCTTCTTTTGTCCTCGGTGCAAAGGCGCGCTGGCGGGCATGCGCTGGGTTGGAGGAAAGCGGTCACCTGGTTGAGCCGTGACTGGTGGGTTGGCGGGCGGATCTACACATTGTACCTGGACGGAACCATTCATCTATTGTACTTAGTTGGACACCCGCTGGGTTGCAGTGCGCTGCAAGCAAACACGGGCTGTAACATTGACAACATTTGAACACTTGGTCCAGATTGACTTCAAATGTTCCAAGACGGGAACAGCCTCAGCAGAAGTCCAGTGACATGTCGGGGGAGGGAAGGAGCGCCTGGGGCATGATTTTGCGGGAAAGAGGCCCACTGGGGAACCACTCGACTGCCTGGGGAAGCGCAGACTTGAAATGTCTGGTTTCAAGTCCTCTACTCTCACGTCGCAAGCTTGGCCACGCGCGGTGGCATGTTCAGCGGTGCTGCGATAACAGCGTGGACCGCCAATCCGTGGTGACTGTGGAGAGTCGGCTGGCCGATGGGGGCGACGAAAAAAATCCCTGCACTAGCCGACAAAGCGGGAACCGGCGACACAAGATGTCATGGCAAGGCTCTTGGGATTCTCCGGTTCTTTAGTAGCCGCGTACGGAGTGCCGATTATCTTTTTACCTTTCTTCTCCCCGTGATCCTTCTCCTTCTCCTTCACCCATTGCATCGACAGCCTTGCTTGCTTGCCATTCACTTTTGTCGTGGCAAGCTGCAGAGAGCATACTTTTCTGCCTTGCCTGCCATCAACAGCTCGGCTGCCATCGCCTCACTGGTCGCCACTTGGGCCGCGCGCCTCAGATTCTGGCCCGTCGTGGGACAAGACAAGCTTCCGACTGTCGGCCTGGAAAAAATCAAAAATCGCCCCAGGGCCTTGAGGATATTGACTCTTCTTTCCGAGATAAAAGGAGCCTGTGTCCTCCTGCTATCCCAAGAAGCCCAACGCACAGTGCTCGCAAGGTCCTTCGGCAGCAATGGCCTCGAGACTGGCTCTCCGAGGTGCGCCGCTGCGCTCCTCGACCGCGGTTGTTAGCCGCGCCGCGCTGCCAGCCGCTGCCAGCTTATCGACCACATCCGCCAGCTTCGTCGCCGCTGCGCGCGCTCCCGTTGCACGCTTCGCTGCTGCACGCTGCTTCTCTCAGACCTCCCGGGTCGCGAGCTCCAAGGCTCAGCTGGACTCGATTCGCAAGGACCCGGCCTATCTTGACATGCAAAAGACCAGCGACGAGCACCCTGAGCCATGGATGGACTTCACTGCACGACACATTGGTCCTCGCGACGAGGACATCCCCGCCATGCTCAAGCAATTGGGCTCTGGCGTTGAGTCTCTGGAGGCCTTTGTCGCTCAGGTCATTCCTGAGGACATTATGCTACCTCCCCAGAAGACGATCCAGCCCAAGACGTACAGCGAGTCTGGCGTGGCCGAGCTCTTCAAAGCTATGCATGCCCAGAACGAAATCCACACCTGGATGAACGGTGGCGGTTACTACCCCGTGGAGATCCCCGGCGTCATCAAGCGAAACATTCTCGAGAATCCCGCCTGGTATACCAGCTATACGCCTTACCAGGCCGAGATTAGCCAGGGCCGTCTGCAGTCGTTGCTCAACTTCCAGACCATGGTTTCTGACCTCACCGGTCTACCTGTTGCTAATGCCAGTTTGCTCGACGAGGGTACCGCCGCCGCCGAGGCCATGACCATGTCTCTCAGCAACCTTTCCACTTCTCGTGCTAAGCGCCCCGGAAAGACCTATGTTGTCTCTCATCTCGTCCACAATGCAACCTCCGAGGTCATGCAAGGCCGTGCCGAGGGCTTTGGCATTCGTCTTGAGTTGATGGATTTGTCCGCACCCGATGCTATCCAAAAGATTCAGGCTCTCGGTGACGACCTGGTTGGTGTCCTCGCCCAGTATCCCGATACCAACGGCGGTGTTGGTGACTTCCGCGAGCTGGTCGATGTAGCCCACAAGCAGGGCACCCTCTTTAGCGTCGCAACGGACCTCTCTGCACTGACTCTTTTGACCCCTCCCGGTGAATGGGGTGCCGATGTTGCTTTCGGTAACTCGCAGCGATTTGGTGTTCCTCTGGGATTTGGTGGTCCCCACGCCGCCTTCATGGCCGTCAAGGAGGCCAGCAAGCGTCGTCTGCCGGGCCGCATTATTGGAGTTTCCAAGGACCGCACTGGAGGACGTGCTCTTCGTCTGGCTCTTCAAACGCGTGAACAGCACATCCGTCGTGAAAAGGCCACTAGTAACGTCTGCACTGCCCAGGCTCTCTTGGCAAACATGGCTGCCATGTACGCAATTTACCATGGACCTGCTCAGTTGAAGGAGATGGCGGTCAACAACCTTCGCCACGCGCGCATGGTCCAGTCTGCCGCTCAGCACTATGGTCTGACTGTTCCTACTGCCACTCTGGACCCCCAGGGTCGTGTTTTGTCTGACACCGTCACAATCAGCTTCGATGACCCCAAGGTGTGCCAGACACTCCGAAAGGAGCTTCTGGAGCGAGGAATCAGCGGAGGCAAGGCCTGGACTAGCAACGAAGTTGTTCTAGCCGTTCCCACCACGTTCAACCTGGATACATATGTTCGCATCGTCGAGGCTTTCCAGGCTGTTGCCAAAAAGAATCATACCGACCGCAATTTAGACGTTGCTAACAAGTTCTGGACTGAGGGTTGGAAGCCGACTCTGGACAAAATTGTCAAGGACATCCCGCAAGTCGTCCGCCGAGAGTCTAGCTACTTGACTCACCCTGTTTTCAACTCCTACCATAGCGAGACCGAGATGCTGCGATACATCTACCAGCTGCAGTCCAAGGATCTGTCTCTGGTTCACTCCATGATTCCCCTGGGTTCTTGCACCATGAAGCTCAACGGAACAACCCAGATGGAACTCATTGGCCACGACAAGAGCTCCAACATCCACCCCCATGCCCCTGTGAGCAGCTATAAGGGATACCAGAGACTGTTCAGCGCGACCTCTGCGCAGCTAGCTGCCCTCACTGGAATGGATGCCACCTCTCTGCAACCCAACTCTGGTGCCCAGGGTGAGTTTGCTGGTCTGCGAGCTATTCGCAAGTACCACGAGCAGCAGCCTGGACCTAAGCGTGATATTTGCTTGATCCCCGTTTCCGCTCACGGTACTAATCCTGCTTCCGCCGCAATGGCCGGTATGCGCGTCGTCCCCGTCAAGTGTGACACCGTTACTGGTAACTTGGATCTCGCCGATCTCGAGGCCAAGTGCAAGAAGCACGAGAAGGAGCTCGGTGCTTTCATGGTCACCTACCCTAGTACATTCGGTGTCTTTGAGCCCGGTGTCAAGAAGGCTTGCGAAATTGTCCACGCTCACGGCGGTCAGGTCTACATGGACGGTGCCAACATGAATGCCCAGATTGGCCTTACTTCTCCAGGCGCTCTAGGTGCTGATGTGTGCCATCTCAACCTTCACAAGACTTTCTGCATTCCTCACGGCGGAGGCGGCCCTGGCATTGGCCCTATCTGTGTCAAGTCTCATCTCGAGCCTTTCCTTCCTCACAAGGACAGCCAGACTCCTGTTTCCAGCGCTTCTTTCGGCAGCGCGAGCATTGTACCCATCAGCTGGTCATACATTGCTACCATGGGTAAGCTTAATGTTTCTGCATCTTTACTTTACAATCACCGATAATTTACTGACAAAATGCAGGCGACAAGGGTCTCCGCAAGGCCACTTCCATGGCCCTCCTCAACGCCAACTACCTCCTTGCTCGCCTCAAGGACCACTATCCCATCCTGTACACCAATGACAATGGTCGCTGTGCTCACGAATTCATCATTGACGCCCGCCCCTTCCGTGAGACGGCTGGCGTGGAGGCTATCGACATTGCCAAGCGTCTGCAGGACTACGGCTTCCACGCTCCCACCATGAGCTGGCCGGTTCCCAACACGCTCATGATTGAACCCACAGAGAGTGAGAGCAAACAGGAGCTTGACCGCTTCGCTGACGCCCTCATTAGCATCCGTTCTGAGATTCGCGAAATTGAGGATGGCAAGCAGCCTCGTCAAGGAAACGTTCTCCGCAATTCCCCTCACACCCAAAAGGATCTCCTTGTTGGCGACGGCGAGGGCAAGTGGGAGCGTCCTTACTCTCGCGAGAAGGCTGCCTACCCTCTTCCGTATCTAATGGAAAAGAAATTTTGGCCTACGGTTACTCGTGTTGATGACAGTAAGTTATTGCTCTCAGTCCAATACCTCTCACGAGTGATCGCTTCTAACAGCCGCAGCCTACGGAGATACCAACCTCTTCTGTACATGCCCTCCCGTCGAAGACACTACTCAGTCATAGACCCTCTTCGTCATTCAATATAGTAGACTGCCTCTTGAAATTATGCGTCGAAGGGGGCAACATGCTACAGAAGCACGCATATGTCTTTTGACAATTTCAACATTCAGCAAGGATGGTGTATAATACTTTTATCTTGCGCATTAGACCGGGACACGTTTTAACATATATGTCTCTCATGAAGTACCTAGTAGTACCTCTCCTTTTTTTTCTTGATGCTTTTATGAGCCTAGGGTGTTTTGATGAGGCTTCGCTTCTTGGAATTCGCAATTCAACATTTTGGGCGTTGGGATTGGACAATGATACAACTTAGAAAAAGAAGGCTCATCTTAACAATGGGATAAATGGATTACTTGCGGGCTGGTAGAGGCCCCCTTTGTTTGCAACTTTTTTTAGGTCCCAGCGTGAAATCTATATACACTCGTACACCCGGTGACCCGTCTTCGCCTTGTATCATGGCAGCGCATCTCGCGTATACATCAATCACATTAGCCATCATTAAGCCTCGAAAACAAGGGCCACACCGTCATCACCCGCCGTGACAACCCTCTCGCCCGTCTCGCCCTGCACGAAGCCAAGCACGCCGCCGCCCTCGCCATCGCCCCTGTGGCCCTTCCACTCCTTGGCAAGGCCTCTGTCCGTGGCGCCGGCCGCAGTCGTGCCCGTGGCGCCGCCGCTTCTCAAATCCCATCGGCGGACGACGCCGTCCATGCCGCAGCTCGTCAGCAGCCACGTGTTCTTGACAAACTCCAGCCTGACGACGGAGTGGTCCTCGTGCGCGCCGGCAATGTGGCGCCGCACAGCAAAGCGCCGGGTCGCGTCGTACACGCAGATGGACCCGTCGACGGAGCCGGCCGCCAGCAGCGTCGTCGGCGGGGTCGCCCCGCAGCGACACCGCGAGCGACTCGACGCTGTCGCCCTGCGTGTGCAGCGACGCCAGGATCTGCCCGCCGGCCGTGGCGTCGGCGGGCGACTTGCCTCGCTGCTGGGACGACGCGGGCGACAGGCGCGGCAGCGAGACGACCTTGACGGCGCCGCCTGCGCCGCCGGCCGCGACAAAGGACCCCCTGGGGTCGATGGCGATGGAGTACAGGCCGCCCTCGACCTCGAAGCGCTGGTCCTCGCCCGTCAGGGACACCACCGTCATGCCGTTTTCGCTCGTGATGTTGCGCGCGGCCGCCTCGCCCCAGACGTCCCAGACGTAGAGGGACGAGTCCTCCGACACCGTCGCCAGGAGGTGTCCGTCTGGCGTCCAGGCGCCGGCGGTGCAGGGCGCCGTGTGGAGGAAGTAGCTCTGCACGATTTGGAGCGGGTTCGAGGCGTCGCCGGCGTCGATTGTGTACACCCATACTGAGCCGTCGGATGCGCCGAGCGCAATGGTGTTTGGGTGGTTTGGCGAGGGACACGCCGAGATCCAGTTGACCTCCTCGACTTCCTGCGCCTCGCCTACGAGCTTCATGTCCACGGTGCCCGGGCGCACGTCCGCCTTCCAGACCTTCATGCGGCCGTCTAGCCCGCCGCTGACGAGGAATTCGCCGCGGGGCAGCGTCCATGCGAGCGTGTTGATGGAGTCGGTGTGGCCCTCGAGGGCAAACAGGCTGTCGAGCTGTGTGCTCTTTGGTGTCTCGGCAGGGTTGCTGGCGTAGCTGGCGGGCAGGACGGGCCGTGATGCGGCGGCGGATGTGTCGAAGAGCCATCCTGCGCCGGGGGCGTCGTCTTCAGGTCCTGCAGAGCCGCCGACGGCAACGAGCGATGGGTGCAAGGGGTGTTGGGCGATGGTGAAGAGGGAGTCTTGCGGGAGGTCGAAGTAGGCGATGGAGTCGTTTTGCAGTAGCACCTCTTCTTCTTCGTCTTCAGCGTCCGAGTCCATGGCGATGTCGTCGCCCGAGTTTTCAATCTCTTCAGCGGCGTCTTCGACGTCGAGGAGGTCGTCGTCCATTTCTTCCGGGTGTGACATTGTGAGTGGCTGATGCGGTCAAGTTTCGGTGCGAGGAAGGTCGAGAGCTGCAGGATTGGGTGCTAGCGGTGTCTGGGCTTAAATACACTGCTTGAGCTGGAGAACAGGCGATCGAAGGCGACGGAATAAGAGTGACTTTTTTTTTTGCGTGTACGGCGCTGCTTGATAAGCAGGGTCGCGGTGGGTTGGGACGGAGGGGAAAAAAAGTTGACGTCGAAGCTACCCCTCTGCCCCTCTTTGACTAAACCTGACAGCCCGACAAACGCGTGAGTTCAACTCGTTACCTGGAGTCGCTGGTCTGTTGATTTGTCCTCGTAAGCAAGGGTTGAGGGAATGCTTTGCTGATGTATCAGCGGTACAAGTAATTTTTGTTTAGTGTTGTGGGCTGTTGGGATACAGGTGCAGCTCGCATATGCTGGTTAATACGACGCAGCAAGGCGTTTGAAATCCCGTCAAATCTACATTTGGTATCATTTTATCCCGTAAATATCGTCCGCATCCCGTAACGCCTTCCTTCCCCCCGATCCAAGCTGATGAAGCACGAGAGGCTCTCATCACTCCTCCAAAGACTCGACCCAATTACTCTCGGCCTGCCTCCTCTTCCATCGCTCCACCACAGCTTTGCGAACTATTTGCTCCTCCTCTTCCACTTCTGCAGCCTGGCCTGCCATCTCCCGAATATGGTGCTTCACGCCCAAGGGGAGCATCTTTTGCCAACCGCTGTGTGTCTTGCAGCGTTTTCGTTCACACATTCCTCTGACCATGTCGTCTTCGCCCAGTGGATCGTCGAGCTTCGAGTTTTTAAACACCTCCTCTCCCTCGGGGGACTTGATAAATGCGGAAAAAACGTCTCGCGCAGATACGGCGTCCAACCTAGAGTCGTAGCCGCAGATGTCGTCGCCGAACCGTCCATCAGTAATGGCCGCGCGTCTGCGCTCTTGGGCTAGCTCAATCAGAGTAAACATTTTGTGGCAGAGGAGCGTCTCTTCCGCTAGCTCAAACCGAGCCTTGGCTGCTTCATCAAGGACCTTTTGTTCTTCGTCGCTTAATAACTTGGAAAGCGCGTCATCTATTGTGCATGTCAGCCGTGTGTGCGATAGACCATCTGCGGCCGAGTATACTCACCTCCCTCTGCCTCTATGCCGTTGGTCGAATCGTCCGAAAAGGGCGTCTTGACCAGTTTCCACGTGCCGTCCTCATCTCTGCTCCCTATGTCGCTGCTGAGAAGTGCCATAAACTCATCCTGCGCCAGTTGGTCATTCAGGCCACTCTTGGCTCTGCCTTTGGGCAGTCTGCTAATCATTCTCTCCCACCATATTTGCGCATGCTCATTTGAACAAAACACGCTCGGTTGACTTTGCGCCAAACGCGCCGCTTTGCGACAAGCTCTCAGCGCACACGTTTTTTTGTAAATGGTAGCAAGATCCGCGGTTGTACAGTTTGGGCATATGAACTTCTCAATGAGGTTTTCGCCGATTTCTTTATTCATGTTGATGCACTCCCCGTGAAACCAGTCCTCGCACTTTTCGCAGCAAATCATCCACCGATGGTCGTCGGGACCACGGCACAGGCAATACGGGCCGTTGTCGGATTCCTCCTCTCCTGAAGCATCGTCTACGCCTGGAGCTGCCGAACCCGTCTTCGTCTTCTTCTTTCTTTTTGAGTTGCCAGGCCCTGGTCTCTTTGGGACCTTCTTAACGCCAGTCGCTGTGCCTTTCTTCTTGGACGCAACAGCCATGGCTGCGGAGTCAGGTGCCTCTGTCGAAGGGAGAGGCGTTGGCGATGGTTTGAACGAGGCTGAGGCGAGATCTGGACCGGCTATCTGAGGAGAGCTGACTGCGTGCTCAGACTTGACTGCCCGGTCGGCAGATTCGGATCGCAAACGGTCCTCATGCGAGGATCCGGGTCTCTGATCCATCGTATGTAGAGAGCGGGAGCTGGGCAGCCCAGCTGCGGCAAAGATGTCTATCCCGCTGATCGAATCCTGATTATGATGAAATATTCAGCAAGACTCTCATTATTAAAGTTGGATGTGATTCAAGCTGGATGGGGCTGCATTTTGAATTGACACTTTGAAATATTATTGATGAGTGAGCTTGATGCGCGCCTACATTCACTGTGAGAGTGAGAGCGACAATGAGCGCCCAAGAGCAGGGGTTCGCGTGGGGGCTCTACATGTACATACGGCGTGCAGTCTCAAGTCTCGGCAAATTTTCGGTGGCAAGTTGCAATCCACATGGAGCTCGTCGCGGCATCCAGCACCAGGCTACTTTTTTCAAGCATTTGCACGAGAGCTTCCACAAGGCTTGCTCCAACCTCAAGTCTTCACACATCATGGCGCAATCTCTAGCGTCGTCCAAATTCCTCCGGGGCTCATTCACAAAATGCCAGCGATGCTTCTCCAGCCGTGCATTCCAGCCGACGCAGTTGCGGCCGACTCTCCCTCGCGCACCCGTGCAAAGCAGACAACCGATTTTGCAGAAGCGAACCAAGTACAAGACTGTCGAGCAGGCAAAGAGTCGGCATAGCACTGGCGTACGTGATTACCCCCGGCCCAGATTGATGTATACACATTTCTGAAGGAGTTACAAGCTGACAAACCAACCTCTTGCACTCAGCCTTTCTCGTGGAAAGCCGGAATTCTATTCGTCGCAACTTGCGGTGCACTGGTTTGGTACTTTGAATTTGAGAAGGGGCGGATGCAAAGGAAGAGGATAGCCGATGCGTCCAAGGGTGTTGGCAGGCCCAAGGTCGGCGGGTCGTTTGAGCTGCTAGACCAAAATGGCAAGCCGTTCACCAGTGAAATGATGAAGGGCAAATACTCCTTGGTATGGTGCTATGATCCTACAGACGTGTTCTTACGGCATCTCGCTGTGCTGGGCTTGGGTTGCGAACAATTGACTAAACAAGCTCGTGTCAGGTGTACTTTGGATTCACTCGTTGCCCCGATATTTGTCCCGAAGAACTCGACAAAATGGCGCGCATGCTCGATGTAGTCGAAGAAAAGGCCCCCGGTGCACTTCTACCAATCTTCATCACTTGCGATCCCGAGCGCGACGATCCTGCGGCCCTCAAGAGCTACCTTGCCGAGTTCCACGACAAGTTCATTGGCCTGACTGGCACATACGACCAGATCAAGGACCTTTGCAAGAAGTATCGAGTGTACTTTAGCACACCGCAAAATGTCAAGCCGGGCCAAGACTACCTGGTTGACCACAGTATTTACTTCTATCTGATGGATCCGGAAGGCGACTTCGTGGAGGCTCTGGGGCGACAGCATTCACCAGACCAGGGCGCCCAACTGATTTTGGACCATATGAAGGATTGGAGGAAATGAGGGACCCCGGCAAGGCGGAAAAGGAAAAGTGTATGATGGGGTGTATGATTGGGGTCTGTATTTGTCCATGTAAACTAGTGTACGACAATTTGTGCATAGACTATGCCAGCCGTGTTGGCGAGAACAACTCAATTCTACTGTAATGTATTGAACTGATTGCGCGAGTGCGTATTTTTCGTAGGCCACGAATGACAGCTATCCAATGTTCTACCTACACCCGCTGTAGTTACTTGGTATTGCCTCTGGAAGCCATTGCCTGGTTTGCCTGATGAGAGTCGACGGGCGGATACATGTCACCGTTTGAATGTATGACCCACGCCCTCCCCTCCGACAACGGGCTGCAATTCCGCAACACCAGACATTTCCAAACCTCCATCGCCAATTCCCCCGACTGTTATCACTCGACACCATAACAAAGAGGTGTGGTAGTCGAATCGCGCGACGCCATCGGCAGCCATGTCTCGCGTTGTCCTTTGCACGCGGCATCTAGGGCTGACGGCAACCACCAAACTATCCCAACCAGCTCCGTCGCTCATCCAACAAACTGGAATCAGGCCACCCCGGCACGTTCCAGTGAGAACATTTCGAAGCACATCCCATCTACCGGAGAAATCAAGCCATTCACCAAAGGCAAATACCTCTTGGCCGTCGACGTCAGACACCAAATCCCTGTCAGATATTGCCTTTGCCTTTGAGTAAGCCTCCAGAGCATCATCCTCACTCCACCAGCGTCATCAAGAAACCCTTACATCCTCATGCTAACTGCACAAGTATCGATGGAGTACTATACCGTGGCGGCCAAGGCATCCCCGGCGCCCGCGAAATGCTCCGCAGCATCCGCTCCAAAAACATGCGCTACGTATTCCTCACCAACGGGGGCGGCGCCCATGAAGACGCCAAGGTAGCCTCCCTCAGCAAACGCCTTGGCCTCTCCATCGACGAGGACGTCATTCGGGACAGGGTCATCTTGTCGCACACGCCCATGCGCGGGTGGGCGGATGAAGTGAAGAAGCAGACCGTTCTCATAACCGGATCCCACCCCGAGACCGCGAGGAAGATTGCAAACGAGTCTGTCAACCTTGCAACGGAAAATTTCTTGTCATGTTTCAGCCGTCTGACCTTGTGATTAGGTACGGATTCGAGCGTGCCGTCACACCAGCGGATTTAATCCACGCAAATGGCGATTTGTACCCCTTTGACAACTTGAAAGACACGCTGCATTCGGAATTCCGCCCTCTGCCAGACGGCAAGTCTGCGTCCGCCATCAAAGACCCCTACAGCAAGAATCTCGCTGGGGACGCTCTCAAAATCGACCAGATTCTGGTCTGGAACGACCCCCGAGACTGGTCGCTCGACATCCAGGTCATCCACGACCTGCTGGTCTCCCACAACGGCTATCTGGGGACCCTGTCTTCCAGGAACGGGAACCGCGGTCTCCCCAACAATGGGTGGCAACAGGATGGCCAGCCAGAACTCTGGATCTCAAATCTGGATCTTGTGTGGAAGACAGAATACCCTGTGAATCGATTCGGCACTGGGGCGTTTCTCGAAGCCCTCAAGGGCGTTTGGTCGGCGGTTACGAATGGCGCTGAGCTGCATTATAATGCGCTGGGAAAGCCGTCACAGTTTACGTATGACTACGCTCATACACGGCTACTTCAGT